TGATCTACAGAAAGTTCTGGATGAAAGCGTGAAAATCATTAACTACATTTTTTATGTAGTTATGAGGGGTACTCAGCGTTTTTTATGAGGGGTACGCAGCGTTATGAAAATTATAGAAGGGGTACACATATGTCAAAAATTTAGAGGGTCGTTGAAGCACTTGGAGGTTATCTGTCCTCAGGATTACCTGAGTAGTGCTACTGGTTCCTGTAGTCTGCAATTTTTCCTCTGGAAATCCATTGCTACTCCTACACTATTAAAAGGGTGTTCATCCCAAATTGTATAGCTAAACGTCTGTAGAGATTCTCAATCATGGTTGTCCTAAAGGTGCTTTTTCAGGTGGCACTTCTTTTGAAGATGTTTTACTTCTTATCTAAGAAGCTTCTTTAGCTCTGACAGAAGCACTTCTCAGGTAACCCTGAGGACACAGATAAACCTCCAAATGCTTCAATGACTCTCTAAAAGGATGCAAATTACCATGCCAGACATTGTCCATTCTCTTCTTAAAAACCTCCAGCGTTGGATTCCCCACTCCTGGAGGCAAGTCATTCCACTGATTAATTGTTCTCACTGACAGGCAATTTCTCTTTAGTTCTAGATTGATTCTCCCCTTGATTAGTTTTCATCTTCTTGCCCTACCCTTAGATGCTTTGGAGAATACCATATTTTTCAGACTATAAGATGCACCAAAGTATAAGACGCACCAAGATTTTGAAGAGGTAAATTTAAAAAACGTTTTTGCCCTCCCCAGCTGCCAGGAGCACTCTGCAGGTCTCCCAAACCCTCTGCACACCCCATTTTTTGTGAAAAAGGAGCATGCAGAGAGTTTGAGAGGCCTGCAATGTGCTCCTGGGGGGACAGGGAGGGTAAAAACGTAATGCATGGGGGGTTTGGGAGGCAAAAAATGGGCCTCTTGTGCAAAAATGGGCCCATTTTTCACAAAAACGGGGCATGCAGAGGTTTTGGGAGGGCTGCAGAATGCTCCTGGGGCTTGGGAGGGCAAAAATAGCCCCATTTTTGTGAAAAACCAGCCCATTTTCACTCATTTTTGCCCTCCCAGCCCCAAGGAGTACTTTACACACCTCCCATTCCCTCTGCACGACTCATTTTTGCAAAAAACAGGCCCATTTTCATGAAAAGCGGACCCCATTTTTCGCTTGTTTTTGCCCTCGCCAGCCCACAGGAGCATTTTGCAGGCCTCCAAAACCTTTTGTGAAAAACAGGATGTGCGGGGTAGTGTTTCAGGTAGCCAAAAATGCTGTATTCAGTGTATAAGATTCACCCAAATTTTCTCCCTCATTTTTGAGGGGGGAAAAGGTGCATCTTGTACTCCACAAAAATATGGTAGATTGTTATCCTCTTCTCTGTAATAGCCCATTAGAAGACCATATCACTCCTTCTTGGGGAAGCCCCTGAATATCTTGGGGACCCTTTGTGTTCTCACAATTAAAATCTGGGTACTCTGGTACTTTGTAATTCTTTCCTTGGAACTTTAAAGTAATTGTTAGATATTCCAGTAGAGGCTCCTGATGACTGTTGTATCCGACCAGCGCCTTTTTCTCCTCCTCCTGCCTTCCCCTTCCCCTCTTCCCAGAGAAACTGATGTGGCTGCCCAGTCCTCAAGCTTCTAGGGTACCAGGACCCTGCAGTCCAGCCCACTCCCAGCCCACTTCCCCTCCGGGCTCATGGGTTTGCTCTCCTCAGGCTGGAGGAGAGCAAATGGATGGCGGGGCTTCTGCTGGACAGGGCTGCTGTTGCCAGTGTTGCCACTGCAGTGAGGCAATGCAGGTGGCAGGGCAAGAGGTGGCCTGGCTACAGGGCCTCGAAGTGCACGAATGCAGTGCAGGTGGGGCTGAGCACAGCTTATTGGACACCCAGGGCCAACACCCAGCTGGCTGTTATTAGCGGCCAAAACGCCAATGAGCTGCAACTACTGCCAGGCTCCGCAAGATCGCCTCCTGTGCACTGGGTTAGCTGCGGTGGGGAGGATGGGGGCAATGAAAGAAGGGAACATTTGGTTAGTTGGGAAACAGTAATAGTGAAGGCAACCATACACTGGGGAGAGCCTTTGTAAACCTGCCCCTGGCAGTAGAAGTGGGAATTTTCTGATTTGATTAAAATCCAAACAACAAAAAAGTTATACTGCTCACTTCATATTTATTTGCAACAAAATAATGAACCTGCAATCCATCTTTGAAACCCTAAAACTGGAAAACTTCCTATTAATCACTATTTATGTTCATAATTCTCTGCTTAGCAGGAAAATAAGAAGTTGGAGAGCAATGAAAGAAATGGTTGAATCTTAAAATGTCCACAAATGTTTTTTTCTGTTCCTTCTTTGCAGTTGTGTGTTATATTGGAGCCAATGCAAGAACTAATGTCAAGACATAAAACATATAATTTAAGTCCTCGGGACTGCTTGAAAACATGTTTGTTTCAAAAATGGCAGAGGATGGTGGCACCTCCAGGTAGGAATTCTCTCTGGTCTTTGATTCTAAGTGGGTAAAAGAGTAAGAATTTAAGAACATGGAATACCATTGAAAGTCTTGTGACTATTTTGCAGATATTCTCTCTAAATCATTGTTTCAATAGAATTATTGGATTGCTAGGTATGAGCATTTCTATGAGAGGGGTATGGAGAAAGAGAATACATGACCTCACACACATGATGATCGTCATTGTACAAATGGTGTGCATTATATACTGTAATAATGACAAAGAATATGTTCTGCCTAGCACATGGAACTACTCCTTAGTTGCATGCAGATCTTCTGGATCATGTACAGATGTAATCCCACACCCTTAAAAAGAGGTATGGAAACCCAACTGCTCTTGAAATTAGCATGCCAGCCATTATGGAGGTTGCCCAAAATGAACAATTCCTAAAGTATGCAGGTGACATTCCCAAGAAGTTTTGCAGTATGCAGAGTCAAGAACATCTGGGATAAAAATGGTTGAAGCTGACACTTTTAGATTGTGCCTGAAGTCAAACTTAGGCAATACTAATCTTGTCATGAGAAGAAGGGTGGGAAAGGGTCCAGGTGGGTCTTTTTACCTTTCATTTACTGTGTGGCACCATTCCTTGATCTTTATATTGCCCACCCATCCACCCAGAAGAGAATAAATTCCTACTCAGCCCAGCAGCTGTCGCCTGATGTTTGGATTGTCCAGAACAGAGGAGATAGAAACTGTTTTGTGCTCTGCTCCTGCAAGCAGATCCTTTTCATGACGTTTCTGAGGTTGTCCTGGTTTCAGTAGGGTGCCATGACTTTCTTTAAATATGCACATATTTACATATTCCATGTTTACATACAAATGTTTTTAAGTGTCTTGTTCCTTGATGCCTTTCACCCAAATGATGAAAGCAATTTCCCTCCCTCCTTATAGATTGACATGCTCTTTTATGAATGGTCCAGCAAGATTTAGTAACAAATGACTAAATGTAGCTGCAGCAGCATTAAAGATTTGTCAAAGCCTGATAAATAATCCATTATAACCATTTTATACAATTAACACTCCAAATGTTGGGAGTGTACTCCTAGTATTGGGTAGGCAATATATATCTATATACAACAACAAATGGTCGTTGTTGCTTTAAATGTGTGGATGTATTTAACAACTGTAATTAACTTTACAATAAGAAGGAGTCAGGAGAGCTCACCTGCTTGTCCTATGCTTGATGACTTCATGAGTGGAATGTGAACTGCTACTGTAAGCTATTGTTTGTTCTTTGAATTGTGTTTGGACTAATATCCACTATCTACTATCACTACTACTACTTCTACTATGAAGCAATTATCAGTAGTAAAGCTACTTGTTTTTACTAGCAGTGTCTGAAACTCTATTCGTGTGTTTCTACTAGCA